AGTGTTCTGTGCAGACTGTTATGGTTGGGTTGTGTCTGGAACTGGGACATAACCCTGCCCCTGTGCTCATCTGGTTTGGTGGGATTTTTGGTAGCAGGGGAGGGGCCCCAGGGGTGGCTCCAGGAAGAAGCTGAGAAGCTGCCCCTGCTCCAAACCCAGCCAAGGACCCATTGGAGGGACTAGAGATGTGTCTCTGTGATGAACATACGGAAGAGCTGAGGTCAGAGCTGAGCAGGGCGAGCAGTTAAGGGAGAAGAGCTGAGCTGGAGGGGCAGAGGTGCTGGTGGTTGGTGAGGAGGAAGGGGCAGAAGGTGCCCAAGCAGCAGTTTCCCTGCAGCCCATGGCGAGATGGCAGCTGTGCCCCTGCACTCATGGGGGAACGTGGTGGGACATTCCCTGAAGGCGCCAGGAGGGGGGAACTTGGCCCCTGGACTTGGATGTTGTGGCCAGAGGATTTGCTGCCAGTGGGCTCTGATTGCTCAGCTGTGGAAGCCCCCGGGCCAGGGGAGCTTGTTCTCGAAGCCCCCGTGACTCTGTGGGAAGCCCAGGCTGGAGCAGCTCCGGACCTGGTGGGAAGGACTCAGGAAGGAGAGGTTGGTGGAGGCCTCTGTGCCATGGGAGGGACCCCGTGGGGAAGCAGGGCAGGACTGTCAGGAATCCTTCTTGCTGAGGAGGCAGGAGCAGCAGGAACCCCCAGGCTGTGAAGTGACTCTAAACCCCATCCCCTGTCCCCCTGTGCCGCTGGGGGGAAGGAGGGAGAGAAACCGGGAACCAAGGGATTGGGGCCCGGGAAGAAGGGAGGGGTGGGGTAACATCTGCAAGCCCTGCTCTGGGTGTGTCTGTGTCCTGGGGGGGTGTGATTGGTGTGAAATGAAACATTTTTTTTTCCTGTGGTGAAGAATTCTCCTTGTCCTTTGTCTTGACCCATGAGCTTCTAATTAGCCTTTGTCCTCTTCATTCCACAGTGTGTGTGGAGGGAGTTGAATGAGCAGCCAAGGGGCCTTCTCTTTGTTGTCATCTGTCACCTATCCACAACAGCTCCTTTAAAGTTCGTTGTTTTTTTTTTTCCAAGTCATAGCATATCATAATGTACCATGTCATATCACAATATCACCATGTCATAGCATGATCTGTTAAAATTTCCTCCCAAGTTCCTCTATTCCAGCATTGACTTCAATTGCTACTTCATCTCCATGGTTCCTGTAAGTATTTAACTACTTCAATTGTGAGATATTTTTTTTCTATTCTGCCTCCCCTCTGGTAACATCAACATCTTCCTGGTTGAGGTATGAAAAAACTGAGGATTCTCAAAATGTGCCCTATTTCTGTCTATTCTGCTCTATTCAGTCTAGTATTAGTCAGTAAATGTCATCTTGAAGATCATCCTATTATCTTGTTATTTCTCTATGATCAAAGCCTTTAAACTTTCTGGACTTTTCCTTTCTACTTTTTACTGTTAACTTAACCCTTCTTTCAAGTGTTCTCTGAGGGTTCTCTCTCATCATCTCACCATGTTCAGCCTTGCTTACAATGTGCTCCTGCACAGTTTAGATTTCCATCTTTTGTTACTGTTCAGCTACTTAGCCCAAGGTCTGCTTCTTTCTTTCACTATGAAAGCTGTATTTTCTCCCAGTCTCCCTCCCTCTTCCTAACACTTTTAACAGCCTTCTTTCTCTCCCAGAGCTCCAATTGCCTCCTGTAGTTCTTTGAAACCTCCATGGGTATCTTGTCTAATAAAATGTCCCATTCAAGCACCTTGTTCTCATCTACAAGATGTTGCCTTATCTTATGTCTACTGACGTCTTTTTCCTGCCTTTTCACTCCCTTTTGCTCCACGTGAAGCTAATGCTTAAGCCAAAGTACACCTGCTGCAACTTCTTCCTGTCCTGCATCTCATCCCTTATGCGTCCTTCTGGGCTTTCTTTGTCTGTGTTTATTTATTATAGCCTGTTAATGTTAAACAGTGCTCCTTTTGTCATCTTTCTCCTTTTCTTCAGTCAAAACTGTTTTCCCCTTTCACCTTCTACATTCATTCCTTCACAGCCTTATGGAACTCTGGGACTGAGGTCTCTTAAGCCCAGAACATTTTCTTTATTTGGAGATGACTGTTTTTCTATTCTGCATGCCTGATTGTGAGTAATAATAAATCTGCGTCCACAAATTCAACTCATTTCAGTATGGGGTGGTAGAGGGCTCTGCATCACCATCTGCTGCAATGTCCCTGTGTGCAGCACTGGTGGCAGCTGAGAAACAGACCTTCTTTGCCTTCAGCATAGGCTGCAGACTGGTGGTGAGTCCTAAGGTTTGTGTAGGGTGAGGTCATGAAGTGGTCTAGATCTTGTAGAAAGAACCTACTGGAGAAACTAGAAAAAAAAGTAAAAGAAGAAGGCTGAGAATTTAGTATGATGTCTGATAATGATGTGGGCAGGACATGGGGAAATACATTAAGCTTGTCACTGTTGTTTAATAGCACTGGCATTTCAGGTGTTAAATCTCCCAGAAGAGGCCCAGGAGAGAAGCATGACTTTTCAATCTTTCCACCCCCCACACTATCAGAGCTTTCACTATAAAGGCAGTAGGAAGAGAAGGCTAGGAATTATATTTCTGCATCCTGAAAAGCATTCAGGAGAAATGAATGAAGACAGAAAATGAAAGACATGAAAGAAAACTGGGAGAGGAGGGAGAAGCATAGATGGCTGTCTGGAGAAGAGACCTATCTTGGGTGAGAGTTCTTCTAACACCTATTCATTTTTATTTTTTTTTCTTCACCTGAGACTCTAATTTGGACTGCAGTTGTAGTTTCCTCTGTCATTAAGATGTCCTGCTTGAAGGAAGTACCACAGAAAAAAAACTTAGAGTCCCTTCAGGGGACTTCTGTAATATGAAAAGGAAAAAGCAGGTTGTATGAGCAGGTTGTAATTTTTTTCTCTTCTGTGCTGTGGGACAGTCTAGGAAATTTTTTGTGAGCCCTTTCAAGAGGCTTAGGTGCACCTGAGGAGTCAAGCCATATTCACAGGTCATCTGTGTTTGCAACCAGTGCAAGACAGTTATTAAATCTTATATTTTTTTTATCTTCCTCCACTTCTGTGCTAGTATCCTGAGTCTGTTGTGATAAACAACAGCACTACTACATGGCTGTGTCCTGACAAAAGAGCAGTGGTAGGTTTTGGTAGTCTAAAGCATTATAGATGAGTAATCAAGAAAATAAATAAAGTATTGGAATACTACCTTTCAATATATAGCTGTGCCAATTGAATAAAGTGGACAAACTGTTGGGTCTACAAGTTCTTTAAATCTGAAATAGAAGCAGCAGATCTCAAAGCAAATACACCGTGAGAGCTGCTGCTTTCAATTTAACTAGACTAGTGTCAGTGATGCTGTGACAAAAGATTATTGGTACCTTGTGTGACAGAGAGTATGTTAATAGTGTCAAGCCAGATAACAAACTGCTTTCCTCCTGGGAGAAAGAGGGACAGGGGAGGGTGTTTTATAAGCTGTGGAACATGGTAAGAGAAGACAGGAGACAGGAAATAGTATGACCTAAATGCAGGATATCTACAGGTGCCATATATTTTGTCCTGCACTGGAATGGTGAATTTCAGTTCCTAATCTTTGCCTTGGTAGATAATATCTGTGTACAGAGGTCAGAAGCAGAGAGATTGTTTGACAAGAAATGCTCTCCCACTAGGTTTTACATAAGTACTAGGTCCTTAGCTGCAGATGTCCTCAGAGTTAGGTTCTTTCTAGAGTGTACACTTGTACCACTGTGTGCAAAATGATTGTGCATTTTCAGCACAGCTATCAGTCTACCATTTGATACTATGGATGACGTGTTATTACATTGTGAAAGGCACAAGTGGGAGTACAGACTTTTGTGGGTTGCCCTCCTCATGAGGATAGTAAAAGTTTCTTGTTCTAGTGGCATCTGCTCTTCACTGATTAATAGCTGTCAATAGACACATGGTTGCTAGCAGCACACTGACAGGACTGTGAGGTGTGTCTTAGACCATGTTGCTGGCATGTGCATCTCACTCCTGTCACTAGCTGGTAGCTCACTGGTATTGACTGAGCTCATTACTTTTTTGCCTGGTTGAGAAACAAGTGATAGAGCGGAGAGCAGAAACTGTTGGAAAAGTGTGCATCAAGGAGAATAGATTTCTGCTTATACCCATAAGAGAATACCCACAGAGCAGCTTGGTGGCATTCTTCAAAAGTGTAAAGTGTTCACCGTAAGGGCACTTGGGAGGGCTGAGATTAAGCTGGAATGCTCAACAGCTTACAGGGATGTCTAACTTCTACATTAGGGCTTGCTGCTTCTCTTGTGGAGCATGGACTTTGAAAAATTATCTTGGGAAACAGAGTGTGCATCCATCTCTTTTCCATCTCACCATAGTTCCTGGCATCTTTATGACTGTCAGTCTTTTGGATACCTGGTATTTGGGAAGAAAATAAGAAAGCTCATTGAATTTTGTTCTCATTGCAAATGAGGCTTCCTCAGGATGGAAAGCTGTGAAAGAAGAGATCTCCTGGGTAATGATTTTGGTTTCCTCCTGTCTGCTTTCTGAATCGGTACTTCTAGATCTGTCTGTCTTACAGCCTTCTTCTCCCCTCCCCCCTCCCCCTTCTTCTCCTTCAGGAGTTCCCCTCTTGTCCACACCTGATATTCAATCCCAACAGAGTGAGTGCCTTTTTCTGAGATCAGACGAGGCACTGGGGAATCATGTGGCAGAGGAAGGTTGCTATAAATATAGTTAGACCCTGCAATCACTGCCTTTGGGCAGGAAGGGAGAAAGTGAGAGGGGCACAAGGAGAAGGAAGAGGGGCAGAGAGAGGGTGAGTGCAGGAACAGGACAAGTCAGAGTGGTCTGAGGAGAAAAAGGAAGGAAGGAGGAAGAAGAAGAAAGCGCAGAGGCCATGCTTTCGGCCAGAACTTGTGGTGGTTCTAGGTAAGGCCCCAAGCAGCAGCTCCATTACAACTGAGTATGAGGAAGAGTAGAGGCATGGAAAGCTCCGAGCCCAAGACCCAGGAGCCCAGATCGAAGTCAGCTCTGTGGGAGGGCACACCGCAGTACGACTATGTCTGCTTTGAGAAATGCACCCGGTATGGGATACCCGTGGAGGCAGGACGCGAGGCTGGGGGGACAGGGGACGACCTGCACTGCCTGGAGAACTCCCTCAGCTACCCACAGGTAGGGCTGGACAACTGGGACCTTGGTGGCAGCGCAAGTCTCCCTGGGATCACTTGGGGTGCTGTCGAGCACACGTCCCTGTCCCCCTTTTTGCTTGCTGACTCCCAGATCAGACACTGACTTCCTCAGTTGTACTGGTACCCAGGAGTGCTACTTACATTTCAAGTCAGGAGTAATTTTCACCTGCTGTGGACACAAAGAGAGTTAGAATTGGTGAGCTGGGATGGGGAAAATCAAATTAGACCATTAATATATGTGTGACAGCACAAAGAAACTGCAGCTGCCTTTGGCTACACGGTGATACTGAGTAGAAGAGTGAATAAAACCAAAGAGAACAGTGATGTGTGTAGATGGGTATCTATCTGCACAGCTGTATAGATGTAGTCATGCAAAGCTCTGTTCTGACTTTTCTCTGGCCAAAAAGCAGTTCATTATCATAGACCCATACATGTGTATTGATAATTTTGATAACTCTTAGGGAAACTGTAAATAAGGGATTTTCTAACCCTTAAACTTGACATTACTCTTGCTCTGGTTCACACAAGCAGCAGTTCAGGAAAATATCTAGGATGTAGATGTACTTTGGTTATGGCTTCTTGTTCCATTACCCTCTGTATCTCCTTTAGCTCTCCTTTTGGGACAGCCTCCTGCAAATGGGAGGTTTTACAGCAGAGTCCTGGTGTCTTATTTCCTACCACTCTGCTCAGACTAAGCTGACATAGACAGCTTTTGAGTAACAAAGGATCCAGTCATATCCAGTCAGATGATGAGGAAGAGAATGTGTGAATGTGAAATTCAGATAGAGCAGATGTTTCTCTTTATGTGAATACAAATCCCCTTAAATGAATGCTGAGGTGAATTACTGGAGAATGAGGGAGTGGATGCATTAATCACCTCCTGAAGACTTTTGTGATTTAGGAACAGAGAAAAAGACCACATTTGCTACCAAGAAAATAACTTCCTATATATATGCATCCTAATAAGAATCATATGTTCCACCTCGCCAAAGATTAGAAAATCAGTTAAATGGCCATACTCAGGAATTTCTTGTCTGAAACCTGTCTAAAGCATCTGAGAGTTTACCAGTAACTCCTGCACTAAACTCTGCCAAACCCACTCCCTAGATGATTTGGAAGCAGCAGTCCAAAGGGTCAGGTGTCTGGGCAGAGGACTGGTGAGGTTTACTCTTCATTTACACTAGGGCAAGGCAATGGTTTGGCTGCAGCAGGTGCCCTAGCAGGGTGAGCATGGGGTGGGGTGGAGCTGAACTCCAGCAGGATGAGACACTGGAACAGGTTCCCTAGGGAAGCTGTGGAAGTCCTATCCCTGCAAGGATTCACGTGCAGATTGGATGAGGCTCTGAGCAACCAGGTGTAAGGAGAGGTGTCCCTGCCCATGGCAGGGAGGTTGAAACCGGATGATCTTTCAGGCCTTTTCTAACGCAAATCATTCTATGATTCTGTAACTGTGGCCTGCTGCAGAGTGCCAACCCTGTGGCCCGGCCCAGAGTGGGGTCAGGCTGCTGCCATCAGCCCTGCCCGAGGCCACAGCTGGCCCTGGGGGAGTGTCATGGCCCCACCAAGGGGTTGCCAGGCAGGTGGAGCTGGAGAGATGAGGTGCGCTCTGGAAATGCACCTTGTGCTGCAGGAGCTGTTAGTGAGTTGGAAGTGAGGAGGAGCTGTTGGTTGCAGTTTCTCCAGTAAAGGACTTCCAGGCACAAAAACCTCCCAGTTCACAGGGATAAGCTGTTCCCACAGGTGTAATACCACTGTCACAAGCAGGCACAGAGGACACAGTGAGACAATACAAGGCCTTTTAGTGAGAGGACGAGGGCTAATGGATTGTAACTGAAACAGGGAAGATTTAGAATAGGCATTAGGAGGAAATTCTTCAGTAAGAAAGTGGTGAAACACTGGAACAGGTTTGTCAGGGAAGTTGTGGATGTTCTGTCCCAGGAAGTATTAAAGGCCAGGTTGGATGGGCTCTGAGCAAACTAAACTAGTGGGAGGTGTCACGGCCAATGTAGGGGAATTGGAACTAGATGATCTTTAAGGTTCCTTCTGACCCAAATCATTCTGCGATTCTATTATTCTTGGGACCTGGCACTGGAGCGTCTGCTGAACTCCAGCTGGAGTGTCAGCTGCTCAGGGCATGGCAGGAGACACCTGCACACACCAATAAGCAGGCCACCAAATGCATTTCCAGGTACACCTTCAGGTTGGAATGTCCCTAGGCAAGCATGCATTTGTGAACACAATTAGCAGTCTTAAAAACACATGGCTGTATTTATAGATTTACTGAAAAATATGCCCTAGTACTTCTACATAAACAGTCACATACGCACATATGTTTGCATGTTTATATATGAAACTTTATATGCAGACATGTTCTGGCAGAACCAGACTTCCTGTGCATATGTATATTTTGCTAGCCACTCATGTACATGCAGAGAAAGGATAACTATGCATGCTAATGTACACGTCTTGTACAAACATGCACACCTCTTAGCATTAAAACCAACTTTCTGCACATATTTTCATCCATTTCCATGCAAGGAAATCATTAAGATTTCTTTCCCCACTATCATGTGAAATTTTTTCAGTTGTAGAGAGAGATTTGGCTTCTTTTGTGTTCTTTTCTTTGCTAGTCTGTTTTACATGTATATTGGAAGCTATTTCAGACTGGCTCTGTGATTTTATTTGGTTTACACAAATGCCAGAACAGTGAAATATGGAACCTTCAGAAAATTGGTAGTTAATAAACATAGTTACTAGACAATAATAATAGCAGTAGGATAATAATAGTAATATATGCATAATTTTGGACAATCGAGATAACAGTAGGTTTATGATGCAATATACATTGAGAAAATATACATTTTCATACACTGTAAGATTTTGTATTTATTTCTGCATGAGAAAGCAGCTACAGCTGATAAGTATTTAGAAGCTGTTTTATTAATAACTACAGAAAGAGGGTTCACAGCAGAGAGCTCCCTCAGCAATACACAGATGGGTGTAATAGGAGGGATATGTAATGAGTAATTAAGCAATGCAGTATTATGGAATAACAGACTCACAGAAAGATGGACCTCTGAAAGTCTTCCAAGCTCCTGTTCCCAGCAAGGCTGACTCCAAAGCTAGGTCATATTGTCCAGTGCCTTGTCCAGGCAAATTCTGAACACCTCCAAGATTGAAGATTCCCCAGTCTCTCTGAGCATTTGTTATCTGTGCTGAACCACTCTTGAGATAGGGTGGACAAGGACATGTTTTCCTTATATAGTCAGACTGTCCTTTCTTGCAAGTTATACCTTTTTCCTTTCACTGTGTCCCTTCATGAAGTCTCACTCTGATGTTTCTCTCCAGCTCCCTTCTCCATCCAGATGTTGGGACTGCTATTAGATCTCCCCTCTGCAATCTGTTCTTCAGAATAAAACTATTATTTTGTTGCTGCCCTCCTCCCCTCATGTTTGCTTCATTGACTCATGTCTGAGCAGTTGAGACCATGCTTTTTACTGACTTAAATTTACTTATGAAGGCAGTTTTTGGAGGTTTCACTTTTAGAGACCAAATATGGCTATTTTTTTTTGTAGCCTAAGGAAGAAAATTTCAGGAACAGCAGGGTGGCCACATCAATGGCCAGGAGCAGCAGATTCAAAACAATAAGCACTGGCAGTGCTGGTGCAAGGACTGGAGTATGCTGTGGAGCATAGCTCCATCTGAATGGCATGGGAAATAGCTCATTAGGCTTTGGACTCTGAGAGGAGAGCAGTTTTATGCAGGCACTGAGTTCTCAGAAAACAGTTCCCAGACAAGTCTTGAGACTGTGGTGCTGTACATGTTTTCCCCCTGTGATTCTGTGCAGCTCTTCCTCCACTACTCAAGCAATGAAACTTCCACGTCTTTTTTGCAAATAAATAGCCTGCTGGCTTACAGTTAACTGTTAATCAGTGCTTCCTCCCTGAAAATTAATTTTACCCTGGTGGTACTTTCTCTGTGTTTGTTTTTTTGGATTCTGCCCTTTTAGCAGTATTTATACCTTCAGCTGTTTTACACTGTTATCATGTTGTCACTCAGCATTTAGCCAAGCTAGACATGATAGTACCTCCTCTGGTAATTGATACCTTTTAACATTCTCTCCAGATTTTCTGGTACTCAGAAACCCTGTATTGTGTTATGGACTGAGCACCAGAAGAAGGAACAGTCTGTATCTGGCTGTGTTATATTTTTACATGTCTTCTAATGGAGTGGACATTTCTTGCTTAACCTAATTTTGGTTTAAGGTCATCCTGTGATTTCTTAATTCTTTCTCTGTCCCACAGTCTCCTACCATTTTAAATAGTGCCAGAGTCTTGGAGAAGCAAAGCCCGTGTATGAAGAAGCATTCTTTAAGTGAGTTGAGACTAATTTATTCTCCAGGACAGAACCTTCATGTTTGAAAACTAAATCCTCTTCTTCCGTACCCTGAGTGCCCCATTTCCCAGATGGACTCAGTGAAATAGGTTACTGTATAAGGACTTCTATCACTCATACTATCTATACCCTACCATGCTGTTCCATCTGGGCAGGAGGAATACTCTAAATTTGAATATCACACTTGACACAGGTTTTAATTCATAGTTCGCATTAAGCTATATTTGATAAAAACCCGTCCATCATGACTATATAAAGGCAATGAAACATCTGCTAATACTTGGCATTTCTGACTGAAGTAGACACAGTGAGAGAAAAAAGAAGTAATCTGCTGTTTAGGACTGGATTCTGTATGTGAAAGCTCACCTTGTAGATGAAGTTTTTCAGCCTGATATTTCATTGTCTTGTCTATATTATAGGGCTCATAGTGTGGCCATCCCACACTGCAAAAAGTCTGCATTGCTTAATTTGCCTAGAGCATGTTGATAATAATGGGATTATTAATTACATTATATTTGTCAGCTTCCAATACAGTGATGAATGGAAGAATACTTTTAGATGTTCAGATAGGGTCAATTTGTTTAAGAGACAGCAGGTAAGCCACCTTAAGAGCAGGATGATTTAAAAAAAAAAAGCCTAGATGTGTGTTCTGAAAAAAGAATACTAGGGATTTTGATGGGAGCCATTGCACACAGTTCGAGTGTCTCTTGAGGAATGTATGCAAATAAATGTACTGCTTAGGGCATCCAGTAATTTGTTATGTGGAAATATTAATTAGCATTGAAGCAGGTGCTCAGAAAAGGTGGGGGATTTCCACCCTTCGAGGTGTTTAGGAAATGCCTGGATAAGGTTTTGAGTAGGTTGATCTGTCTTTGGAGTCCAGTGTGATGAGCAGAGCCCTGTACTAGTGTCCTCCAGAGCTGATTACAGCTTCCAGTGTAAATCTTTCTGTGAGTCTCTGGATCTGTTTGATCTCACATTCTCTCACAAACATATAATCTGTATTATGCCTGTTGTACAGATGATGTTTCGGCTCATGGACATGCCCAGGGAACAAGAGCAACATCTTCTGTGCTACTTTGAAAGCGGGAGTCACAAATCTGTCAACTAGGAATGTCTTTAAGTGCATGATAGTGCTTTATATTTCTCATGGGCCTTGTCATTCTCCAGCTGAAGTTTCTGATTTTGCTGATCAAAACATAGAACACTCCCCTCTTGCTACTCAGAAAACCTTAGAGAAGCAGATGTTGGGCTGGGGAGGAAGTCAAGGGTCACATTCTCACAGTGCCAAGATCACCAGACCTGGTAACCTGGCCTCAAGTAAAGTCAAAGCTGGTTCACAGGACAGGTGACATGTAGAGCTACATGTCTCTGCTACTCAAATGCTACTCCCCACGTCTACTCTGAAAGAGTGAGGAAGGATAGCTGCTCTTGAGGGAAACTGATTAATAAACAAGGGGGCACAGTCAAGATCCTTCGAGATCTTTTGATATCTCATTTTGGACAAGATGGCACAACTGTCAAGTTTACTACAGATCCATGTGTGAAATGTCTTTGGCAAGCACATGTAGCTACTCATGAGTTGCATATAATGTCAGGATAAGTATCTGAGGACAAAGACTGGATTAGGCAGCTAGGAAATTCAGAGGATTTGTGTGAAAATGCTTGATGATTTGGGTAAATAATGGGAAGCGTGCAGAACCCTGAGCAGATGCTGCTTCTTTTCCTCCACAGACACCTTCAGTGGCTGTGTGCCCTGTTAAGCATTCCTTGGCTGCAGAAGGAGCAGATGCAGAACATTCCTGCAGCCTGCTTGATAGTGTAATACCTCTGGAACCCTTCAGAGATATTTCACAGTGTTGCTGAAGTCTATAAGACAGCAGCAGCCTTGTGAACTTTTTTGACCTTCTTTTGTACCTTCAGAAAACCTGCTCAATCTCTTCAGACCTGAGCCAACTCTTTTTCAGGATGCTAGGAAGCAATTAAAGTCAGTGATTCTATCTTTTACATCCCAAAAGGAAGCAAAAAGATTGTTAAGACATTAGGAAGAGGGAACCAGAAGGAAAAAAAAATAAATAAATATCATCTGGCTGAGAGCTTCTGTGTCTGTTTCCTTCCTTGGGTACATTTAGGTCTGTACCTCTGACTGTTAGTAGATCTGCTTTTCCTCTTTCATGGTGCTTGGAAAGGAGCATTTGCATTGCTTTTTCCTTTTGACGTCTCTTGCTTTCTGCTCCTCTAGCTTTATGGCCAATACACAGACCAGATATCTGACTTTGCAGAGAAGGAAGCAGCAAAACTACTCAATAAGAAGCAGGACCAAAAGAGCAATGAAGGACCCCGGAAACGTGCAAGTCAAGTAGAGATCAAAGAAGAGCACTATTCCAAATGTCAAGGTAGGGATCATTCAGTTTTAATAATCCTGTGACCAGGCATTGTGTAGGCCAGCCAGAGATGGAATTTAAGCAAGGCAAAAAGACAAGAAAATTGTGACTGGAGAGAAACAGAGAAGGAAAATCAATCATAGCCGACCCAAACGACTTTTTAGTGACAGCTTTAATGCTAGGAAGAGCCAAGATATGTTTGGGAAAAAGGCCAGTCCCAAGGTAATTAATTTTATTTGCAACAGATCTCCATAACAGAAGGAAAACGACTTTCTTATGTCACATTTTTGCTGCTAGTGCACAAGATGTTAAATTCCACACACATGCTTCCAATGCAGGGTGTCTGGATCTAGATGATCTTTAAGGTCCCTTCCAACCCAAACTATTGTATGATTCTATGATTTTGTGACACAATGTAAGAGACCGATGGGTGCCAGTCCTTCAACACTAAGCCCATGATGCTTCCAAATAAATCCTGTTGCAGTCATTTCTCAGCATAGGAGCAGAAAGACAGACACAGGCTTCATCTCTGTTCCCTCAGTTTTTCTGGTTCACTCTTCCCTCCACAGACTGTGCTAGACGCATCCAGAAGTATGTTACCAAGAAACTTGGAGAGGACTGGATTTTCTTGGTTCTGTTGGGCCTGGTCATGGCGTTGGTGAGCTGGGGAATGGATTATGCCAGTGCGAAAAGCCTACAGGGTGGGTCTCCTTCGGGTGTTGTAAAAACACATTTTAAATTGTATGAAAGTTTTACAAAGCCCAGTGACCAGTGATCTCCTACTGTAACATCAGTGTCCCATCCTCACCCATCACTGCCTGGGAAGTCTGAAGTACTTGAAATATAGTAGAGAAAAAGTTAACTAGGGAGAGGCTCTTTAAAGAGATGGCAGGGAAAAATCTAGAAGGAAGCAGGCAGAAACATGTGTGTGAGTCAAAGACAAACCATTATTTTTACTCCCTTTTCCTCCTGCTCTCTTGAATGTGTAGGGCAAAGGGAAGTGATGCTGTTGTCCTTCTTATACTGATTCCCATCCTCCCCAGATCTGTTGAGCACATGGGAGGTGGGAAGGGAAAGGGGTTCTTACATGCCTTCCTGACGCTGTTTCTTCTTTTTACCTCATTATTGTTCATTCCAACTTTTGCTTATACAGTGCCCTGTAGTTTCCTGCTACCTGGTCACAGAGCTCTCTTCTTTAACACTTTTCACGAAGATTCCCTAATCACTGTCTTTTATCCCTTCCTTGCATATTTCCTGTGGTTCTTCTCCACTTTGCCAGCTATAATGGTTACTAGATCTTTCAGTCCACCTGCCCCCCATTTCCATGCACACAGGCATACACAATATTGTCCACATCCTCTTAACTGCACTGTTCCTATGTCCTTATGCTCAGTGTCCCCGTCCTAACCTGCACATGCACACCAACCCTTTCCTCTCAGTGCTCTTGGCTGCTGATGTCCACCAGGCACTGCAGTTCTGAGATCTCCCAATATCCTTTCAACCCAGTGTTCCTCCTTCTAGAGCTTCCCCATCCACCAGGCATCTGGCTTACCCTACCAGTCTCAGAAGACCCTTGTGCTTCATACTCCCTGCAGCTGAGTTCTTTGTTTCATTGTTTGTTTCTTTCTCACCACCAAGTCTCAGCCTCCTGCTGTGTGGAAAGTCAGCTCAGGCAAAGATCAACCACGTAGGAGCTGCAGTTCAGTTTGGATTCTCAGTAGCTTATGCTTTTGTACCTGGCTTAGCAATGGTCAAAACAGTTTTTTAATAGTTGGCACAGCTCCCTTCATGCTGCTGCTTTAAAGGCAAATCACAAGCAGAGCTTTTAAGCTAGTTTTTCAGAAAGAACCATTTTTTATGTGATTGAGAGCACAAACTATTGGTGGACCTTCAAGACTCGCGTAAGTCCACAGACTGGCAAATGATAAGTCCTTCTACAGTGCTTCATCTTCACAGCCCCCTGTAACACACCTCTTCTTACACCACACTTGGGCACAGCTATTAACACTCTCTGAGAACAGAAAGCCACTTCTATCCATACCTGCATGATGCCTGTATTGTTTGGGGACTTGTAGTTAAAATGTAACAAATCATGTCTTCGAAAAAGAGGACTTGAGGATATAATTTCTCTGTAAGATTTTGTATGGGCATGCTTAGCAAGTGTATGACTCTTTGATGTCTACCAGCCTGTTTAGAGCAGCTGTGGTTACTGACCTCTTTGTTTGTCTGTCTACAGCCTACAAGTGGATGTACAGAGAGCTGCACCCAAATGTTCCTCTGCAGTATCTGGTGTGGGTTATATACCCACTTCTTCTTATTCTGTTTGCGGCCATTTTCTGCCACCTCGTCTCTCCACAGGCTGTCGGTGAGGGTAGAAGGCATGACAAGATCTGTTTCTGTCTGTTTGCTTTTCTTATTCCATTTGCCTGCAGGTTTTCTTAATCCCCTGCTCTGCTGCTTTTTCAGGGTCTGGCATCCCAGAGCTCAAGACAATTATGAGAGGAGTGGTCCTCAAGGAATATCTTACTCCCAAAGCTTTTGTCGCCAAGGTTGTGGCTCTCACAGCTGGGCTGGGAAGTGGCATGCCTGTGGGGAAAGAGGTAAATATTGCTGTGGTGTCCAGGGTCTGGGAGGTGAGAGGTGTTGTCTGTGGAAGAAGGTCTATAAGTGTTTTCTTTATTTGGTACCATTTCTCTTCTCAAAGCTCTGCTTTTCCCAGCAATATTTATCTTCCATTGACCATTTTTCTTCAACTTTGGAAGGCTCAATATAGAAAACATCAAAGAACTCGAGTCAGGTAGTCTTTAAGAGAGGGAGGAAGAAAAAAAAAAGATTGGAAGACTGGCTGAGATGGCCAAAGAGAAATTATGAAATCTGCAATGGCTAAATGATTGTAAGTTACTAGAGAGTAACCCTCTGATTTTCTTCTCCTTTTCTCTTGCAGGGTCCTTTTGTGCATATTGCCAGCATCTGTGCTGCAGTTCTCAGCAAGTTCATGTCAATCTTTTGTGGTGTGTATGAGGTAACGCACATGACTCTGCATACGGCTCTTCCACAGGCTCAACTCCTAAGATAGGATAGTATTGGTAGGCCATAAGATAGAGAGCATATGGATTGAAGTTCACTCTACTGCTGTAGAGCAGTAAAATAATAACCAAAGAAATTGGTAGAGGGAGGCCAGATATACAGTCAGATGTGCAGGACCACCAATGTTACCTGCCAATTACACAGAGGCTGGTTAGGAATATGCATTTGATGATTTTTCAATCTCATTATGCTGATACCGATGCACTGAGATCATTGTCTGTATAAAAAATAGCTGCAGAAGATCAATTTGTCTTTAAGCCAAATTTTTACAGCGTTGCTAATTATAGACCCTGAGACTGTGTCCAGGCTTTTGCTGTCGCAGAACAGCTTCTGCAGGCTGATCACTGTATTGACTAGTTGTATTAAAAATCTATTAACTGCCTATATAGCTAACTGCAGGGGCTGCTTACATGCAGGCTCCTAGCAGGAACTGGCTGTGTAATACAACAGGAGGTGCTTTTCTACATGAGTAGACCCTGTCTGTATGTGAGGACCAGATGACACTGTTGAAGACCAGCTGACAGTACTAAAGACTGCACTAAAGTGTAAAGCCTGCTATTTGTAATAGCAATGGCTGAATCTGCTGCTGGCTGTTGCTTCACTTCATTGTTCTGGATGCTAACCCCTGGCTGTGCTCCCTGTAACCCCAGCATGCCTTTCTCTGGCTGCACTTTCTGTTCCAGAATGTGCATAGGCAGTTCGATCTCCTGGTGGCGGCTTGCACAGCTGGAGTTGGATGTTGCTTCGGCGCTTCTCTTGGAGGCAAGTGTCTTCCTATGTGTGACATTTAACGTACAACTCATTTAGCCTCTTGCTGTGAGATTTCCTGCTCTCAGGAAAGGTTCTCCCCAGTCACCTCTCCAGCCTGGCAACATGAGTTTTCTTCTCATGTGTAACTGGTAACAGCAAAAGGAAGGGAAGGCTCTAGGAAAAGTGACACCTATTAATGTGCTGATTTCTAATGATGCAGCTTGTCCCTGTCTGTCATGGACGTTGTTCAACCTGGAGAGCACTAAGGTCTGCCCAGAAAATCAACAAGGAGTAGAGAACATAAATTTTAAAAACCCTTCATTAAAGGAGTAGCAACATGTAAGGACAGGAGATGATGGCAAATATGACAGGAAATTATAATGTGAAACTACAAATGAACATTTAATCAGTGAACTGAAGAACAAAAATACCAGTGTGTAAAGTTTTGCACTCCTGACATAAATGAGATGCAAAGGGCCAGTATGATGGTTGGAGTCTGAAGTAATGGTATTTGAGGAGGGGCTGAGGAAGCTGGGTTTGCTCAGCCTAAAGAAGAAAAGGCTGAAGGAGGATAATTTAACTGATGTCATCAATCACCCAAAGGAAGCTTTTAGCAAAGATTGATCCAGGCTTTTTTCAGAAGGGCACAACTTGCAACAAGGGAAATTCTGACTGTGTATAAAGAGAATACATTCCCCTCCTCCAAGGGCAGTTCAGCACTGGCACAGATGCCCAGGAGGACTGGGGAATCTCCACCCTGGGAGATGCTCAGGACTTACCTGGACAAGAATCTTGATCTAGCCTTGGAATTAGCACAACTCTGAGCAGGAAATTGGATAAGACATCTCCAGTGGCTCCTTGCCACTTTTCTATGATCCTACTTTGAGTAGAAATGTGTAAGTTTATCCCTCTTCTCTTGCATTTGTACTAGTCTTCTGGATCACATAAGTTTTTTAAACAGCACATGGTAACTTCTACTTAAAACAGTGGAAGTAGTAACTCCTTTGTAAAACAGTGGGAGCAAGCTGGAAGTTATCATAAATAATTTGTCTTAAAATGTTCTATACTCTTTGTTGTGTCTTCCTCTCCCATGCACTGCCCCTAACCTCTCTATAAGGTGATTGTGCCCAGTAGTTTAAGGAGTTTTTTAGATGAAGTGTTTTTTCTAAGTTGGCTTTCATGCACTACTTTTCTGCTAGTCATAAAATAGATGAGTTAGCTGATAAATTCAACATGGTCTTGCATCAACAGTAACAACAGTTACTCTGGTTTGCTATTAAAGAAAGGAAGGAACCTAGCTTGTAAGCTACAAATTTGAGGTTGTTTTGTGGATAACATGAGAGAAGATGTGCCAGGAAGAAAATCAGGTTCAGCATGAGACAGGCTGAGATCTGTGCATATGTGGTCAATCTAGCAAGTTGGACACAGCCTGAGCTGAAGCCTGAGGCTTCAAAGCAAAACTTGGAAGTCTGCCAAAAACCTTGAAAAAAAGCAGGTTCAGAACAAGGAATAGATTCTAGTCAGGTGCAACTATTAGTAATATGCAGGGGAACAGTGAATCTCTCTTAATAGTGAAAAAAACCCCAACAAATACACAAAAAACCCCCAACAAACCAAGCCAAATAAACAAAAAACAAAACCAAAACCATTTCATAACACAGTCTACATACAGTTCTTGTTTCTTTCTATGTTCCTGGAATTGATATAGTCTCAGAGGCTGCAGGACACATTATGCACACTTCACTGAGAGAGGCTAGAAAAGAAAAGAGAAGGGTAGAGGAGTTGTCTAATTGCTGTCCTCTGTAGCTAAAGAGGGTGTTACACAAACTAGTCAAACTGTTCTCGGAGAACAGTGAAAGGACAGGAGACTACAGGCACAACTTGCAACTAGGGAAATTTTATCTATGCATGAAAAAAAATTCTCCCCTTGCCCCTAAGGTGGTTCAGGGTGGCACAGGTGTCAGGAGAGATTGGGGAATCTTCACCCTTGGAGGTACTTAATCCCTTCTTTGCCTCAGTCTTTAGTAGTAGACCAGTTGTTCTCTAGGTACCCAGCCCCCTGAGCTAGAAAATGGGGATGGGGACCAGAATGGAGCCCTCATAATCCAAGAGGAAATGGTTAGTGACCTACACCACTTAGGCATACAAAAATCTATGGGGCCGGATGGGATCCACTCAAAGGTACTGAGAGACCTGGCAGAAGTGGTCAGCAAGCCATTTTCCATCGGTCCTGGCTAACCAGGGAGGTGCCCAGGTAGCAAAGAAGGCAAACAGCATCTTGGCCTGTATCAGGGATCGTGTTGCCAGCAGGATTCGGGCAGTTTTGGGCCTCCCAGTACGAGAAAGACGTTGAGGTGCTGCAGCATGTCCAAAGAAGAGCAAAAATAGTCTTCCAAAACTGTCTTAGGAGAGAGTCTACCTTTTATGCCTTCCGTTTCCCTTTATAGTCTTGACTGTTTTTACCAGGACAGCACAATCCTTTACTAGGTGATCTGTTACCCGCTGACCTACCCAGGATGACCTACCTACCCATCTCTCCACACTCAGTCCTGAATGTGCATGTGCCTTGTGCACACAAACTCATAGGGTGGGTTTTTTGAGGCACTCTCTGGCACATGTGAATCCTGAGATTCCCTGCCAAAGTGAAAGAGATGGAGTAAAACACTCCTGTGTGCCTTCCGCATTTGCCATGAGACATTTCGTCTACAGTGACAGAAATGTGCATGGTTCAAAGAAAGACAAGATGCTGCCTTCTTCATGTGTCTTGAAGATGTGACTCTATGTGTGTGCCAGTCTTTTACCAGGTCTCACCTTTCTAATATTTTAAAGCCATCCAGAAGGGAGAAGTAAGATAATTATAGCTGTAACTCTAAGATAGGTGACAGAGCTGAGTGACAGCATGTGGCGGTACCTGCCAATTTTGTTACTCATGCTCTGCTTTCTCTCCTCCTTCTTCCTGTTTGTCTGTCTCTCTTTGTCTCTTTCACCAGTAGCAGCCATATTATTACACGGATGTCCTGACCGTGGGTTGTGCTGTCGGGGTCGGCTGCTGCTTTGGGACACCACTTGGAGGCAAGTGGCTGTTCTGTTTCCTTTTTCTCAGGCACCTAAATCCTCCCCTGCCCAGTACTCTTCTCCTCTCCCCATTTCCTGCACCATATTTCTGATCTGCCAGCTACCTTGGACAAAGAAACTTTAATGTTACCAACCTCCCCAGCATCTCTGATCTGGTCTTTTTTCCACATTGTCCACCTTCTGCAGGCAAGAGGAGAAGGCTCTCCAGAACAGTGGTGTCCAAACTGGGATGTGCATACCCCAGGAGAGCTCACTATCATTTATTGGGGTGTGGGAAGAAAATATCAGAATTCCTATTTTTTTAATATTAGAATAAATCAAGCTTTACTAATATTCAGCACACATCTCATCACCAGTGTTCCCCAGTCAGTGTGTTGGATTGCCACTGGCCACAAACAGTGTTCACAACACAGAGGGTTTGCAGTGGTGCCCCCACTTATTTGCTTGCTTTCAGCACTCTGCAGTCATGGTGTAGCCACATAAGTGGATTGTAATGTTAACTGAACTAATCCTCACAAAATGGATAAGTGGCTTGAAAAGATTCCTGCAAAGAGACCATGGATTGAATATAGTACTAATAATGTGAGCACAAACAAATGGCAAGATAATGGCAGAGCTGACACTTCTCCTGTTCCTAGAAGAAGCTCTTAATCAGCCACATTACAAGGTAAAAACCAGGATCAGCTAATCAGGTCTGACAAGAAATTGGCCCAAAATAGGAAATTATCAAAGACTATTTGAAGCATGGATTAACAGTGAGCCTCACCTTAAGTGCTTTGAGAAGTTAGCTAATGATGATATGAAGCCATCAGAATTAGCAAGACATTTAAAAACTAAGCATTCAGAACAAGACAAACCTCTACAATTTTTAAAGCAATGTTTCAAACGGTGTGATATTCAATCCAGTACTTTGTAAAATGTCACTAAACTTAACGATAAATGTTTAGAAGCCTCCTTTGGGGTTTCTTACTTCATTACAAAAGACAAAAAGCCACATACCACTAGGGAAACACTTCTTCGTCCTGCCATGGTAAAAATGGCTGAAATAATATCAGAGAGCAATACAGGGAAAAACTAAAATGCATTCCTTTGTCAGCAAACACTGGTGGAAGATGCACAGAAAATATTGCTGAAGATTTGAAGAAACAAATACTAGTATAAGTTACAGTGTGAGAAGCTTGCTATGCAGCTGGATGAATATACAGATATTTCTAACATGTCTCAGCTTATGGTATTTGCCAGATTCTGCTTTGATAGGGAAATACATGAAGAACCACTTTCTGTGAGCTACTAAGGGAAAGATCCACCACGGAAGATGTATTCTCAACAATAAATTACTTCTTTAATAAAAATGGAAAACCTGTGCAACAACCAGTGGGGCAGCTGCTTTGACTGGCATAAGATAAGGATTGCATGGTGATGTTACATAGATAACCTGAAAATCAGTCACTGCATTGCTCCCAGGCAAGCTATTGCAGGAAATTTACTATCCAAATTTTAAAAAACCACCTTTGCATAAGTGGTGGCTGGGATCGAAAAAATAGTATCATGATTCAGTCAGCACAGCCAAAGATGCATTTCTTCTATGTATCTTTGTGAGACATTTTATTTTAGCTGTGGCAGACATTCAGCATCAAAATAAACTGCATAGAACCAGACTTCTGAATCGCTGTATCACAGAGTTTTAAACCAAGATTTTTTAAAAATAAAAGAAATAAATCTTTTTAATGAGAACAAAAGCTTTTTGTTCCATTAATATATAAAACAAATTCCTTTTAAAAAATTGTTTATTTCATCTTGATCTCATCTTTTTTAAATTTCTGGTTTAGTGTATGTTTCATATGGTACACAATATATTAGTACAGTAGTACTTGTATATAGTTTTAAAATAAATCCACATATATTGATAGGGGTGCATTATCTAAGAAGTTTGGAGACCACTGCTCTAGAAGACTACTTAGAAGCCTCTCTCATGCCTCTCATATTACACTTGCGATTTTAACTTTGCTCTCTTTCCAACTCTTTCTAGGGGTCCTTTTCAGCATTGAGGTCACTTCCACTTATTTTGCTGTGCGTAATTATTGGAGAGGTTTCTTTGCAGCCACCTTTAGTGCCTTCATTTTCCGAGTCCTTGCTGTTTGGAACAAGGATGCAGGTAAGCTGCTCAGCATAGTGTCCAGGCTGCAGAGAAGTATCCCAACACAGAGGATGGGACACACTACATTGTGTGCTGCTGTGATCTGCTGGAAATACCAGGGTCTGCCCTGGTCGTCTCTTGACCAGAAGCATTAAAACACAAATAGTCTAGAAAACTGAGATGATAAAAACATAAGGAGACTAGGGGAGTCCTAGAGTCTAACTGAAAGTCCTGAAAAAATAACTATCTCAGGTAAATGAAAAGTGTTGAGTGCAACATTTGTGCAGACAGAAGTAGCAGTGAATAAGACTGTTCAAGAGAACATGTTAGATACTGTGGGGATGGAGTTCCAGCTGATGCAGAAGGCTGCAATTTCTTTTGTAAACTGCTTGCTTATAATGTCTTTTATTCTTTCATCTCTTATTCTTACAATTTTATCTGCTTTATTGATCTGAGCTCCACGTAAGCAGTTGCCTTACTTAAAACTGCTATAATCTTAGTGTTTCCTGACTTGACAGGGTTGGGTTTTGTTTTGGTTTGGTTTTGGTTTGGTTTTGAGTGGGGGGTTTTTTGTGCTAAAACAGTATTTGGCTTGAATATTCTCTTGAATATAGAAAGTGTTTACATCTTTGTGTCATGATCGGATAATCAGACACATGCAGATTCTTTGTGAGGCAAAAGGAAGGTAACACAGTATTGGGTGCACAAACAGGCTTTTATTTAGGTACAAATTAGCTGGTAAGGGTTACAGCTGTATATTTTTCATAAGCTTGTAACAGATGTGATAACTAACCCTAAGCTACAAAAGAGAAAGATCAGGAAAGGAACTACAGTTAAAGGGAAGTCACCACCCAGAGCTCTAGTGGTCTCATAGTAGTGTGATACTCTTCTCCTTTATACAGTTAATTCTTGGGGTAGCCATGAGTGGTTACCCAATCACTGTTCCATGTTTGTAGTGAAAATTCTTTATCACCTCCTGCATTCCTTTGGTCCAGTTACGTGTATAGACCTCAAGTCCTTTCTGCCAAGTTGGTGATTTACATGAAAACACTCTCTGAGCCTCTTGATTAATTCAAGGCCTGCTTATCACCGGGTGTCCTTGCTCAGTGCTAGCTGTGGCACCAATTGTGTGCCTCCTTGTCTGCAGCCTCAGCACATCCCACACCATGCTCCCTGGTTCGCACCTGCCTGGTGCAATTGCCACATTGAGGACACAACGTGGGGGAGGAGGAGGGTGGGGTCTTGCAGTTGTCAGCTGAGTGAAACTGGTTCAGTAGGTTGCAGAGACATCTCTTTGCTAAACACTGCTTGTCTCTTGGATTGTTCGAGACAAGTACCATATATCCCCAATGTCACACTGCCACGTATTGAGGGGTATTCAACCATTATATCTGTCCCAAAAAACACATCTTTCTGTCCCTTCCTGAGGGAAAGATAAGAAATTTGGAGACAGATGACAGGAGATAATCTCCTTTATTTTTTTACCTACTCTAGCTCCTTTGCTGATGTCTCAAATAATTCAAAATTATCTTAATCCTGAAATATCTTAATTACCGTCCCTTCTTCAAAATCCTCAAGGTAGCCTTAATACACACATTAATGACTCTTACATTCTGCTTCATTCTCTGTTTAGGTTAAAAACTTCCATGATCCAGTTGTCTATGAAAAATACTTCCTTTTCATAGTTCTGAATTTCCTTTGTGTTGCCAGTCTCCTTGCTCTTCTGTTAAGGAGCTAGAAACTTTTGTCTAGCTAAGTCATTAATTATATTTTGAGCTTTT